TTTTGATTCAAGTGTGAAACTAAAGGTGAATTCTGGTCGATCAGTGGCTCAACTAGAATATGATAGTGCAGATGGAAGCATGATGTATGCTACTCACTGCACTCGACCTGACATCGCATTCACTGTAAGCAAACTAAGTCAGTATACTGTTAATACAGGGACAGAGCAATGGAAGGCAGTGGGTAGGGTACTGGGATACCTAAAAAGGACAAGTACTTTTGAGTTGACGTATTCATCATCTAATGGAATACTTGAAGGTTATTCTGATGCCAACTGGATAGATCACACTAGTGATTCAAAATACACAAGTGGTTGGATTTATACTCTAGCTGGTGGTGCTATTTCTTGGGCGAACAAGAAACATACATGTATAACTCATTCAACGATGGAAGCGGAGCTAATTGCCTTAGCAACAGGGAGAAAAGTGTCAGAGTGGATTTGAAATCTACTTATGGATATCCATCTGTGGGATATTCCAATGCCTTCAATACCCATGTACTATGAAAGTGAGGCCACACTGTCCAAAGTATATAATGCGATATATAATGGGAAGTCGATACATGTAGGTCTGAGACACAATTTTTTGAGACAACTAATTGAAAGTGGTACCATCAAGGTTATCTATGTCAAGACAAGTTGAAACTTGACAGATCCGTTTACCAAACCTATAATGAGAGATTTGATTACATCTACCACGAGAGCCATGGGTCTAAAACCACAATAGAATCGTTTAGTTGGAAACCCAACTTGACATTAGTTCTCCTAATTCTCAAGTTTAAAGGGTAACAACGAAGTCACTAACGCTAGAAGGTACTATCATTACTGATATATCCATGTGAGGTAGGATAGTACGTTGTTGACAAGAACGAGGTTGAGTTACGATTCTTAACAAAGTTTTGGAGACATCTAAGCAATGAACATGTTGTAAAACTTTTCCTATATGATCTAGAGGTGGTGTCCCCTCAAGTGAAGATTAGTGGTTTATCTTCTAAAAGGTCATCAAAAGGGCTTATAGCGCATGGCCATATCAGCGCTCAGGGAGAACGCAAAGACGACTTGTGATTTGTGGGGGTAAACCGGACAGGTCATAAGGTTCGTGGTTTAAACCTGTAAGGATACCATCGAATTGGTCTCTCCTTGTTTGTTCTCATTAAACTAGGGTTTAATCTTCGTGATACCCAAGTGACATCATCTGTTTGAGTGAAAGGAAACTGTCCAACTTGGTAGGGGATTGTTGGAAATTATAGAGGAAATGTTTCAAGTTAGCAAGTTCCCTCTATCCCACATTGGTGGGGGAAGAAACTTTTAAAGGGTTTATAAGCTTATTCCCTTGATAGGCCTTCAAAGGCTTTAGTGGATCAAAGGAATGGGCCAAGCCCACGCGCGTGTCGTGCCTAGCCTAGCACTAGTCGACGCCGCGAGTGCGTGAAATGGCATGATTTAGGCACACTTTACGCTTCGCACGACGCATCGGTTGATGGGAGCTGAGGAGCTTTTATTTTAGACGAGTTTGGGTCAAGCCGGTTTGACCGATCCGATCAAATGGTTGATCGTCGTTGACTTCGAGGAGGAAGAGTCCGAACATTCTGGAAGGATCAGGTAATGGCTTGCTTGGAGAGCAAGTCGTCGCCCTAGGGTTTCTAGGGGCCGGCCTATGAGGGTCCATTTCATGCCTTCTAGGGTTTCGATACCTATAAATACAGCTCTCTAGGAGCCGTAGTACTTTCTCACGAAAATCAGATCTCTCTCTCTCTCTCTCTGCATTTTTTCTTCTAGTTTCCGAGTATTCGCTTTATGTTTATCTATTTCCGACGTTGTTGGAAAATCAAAATATCAACATTAAATCCTGTGGTTTTACTCTGTTGCTTACAGCCAATAGAAGCGAAGTAAAAAACTTTAAGGACACACGTCTGATCCGTGTAGTTATTTCAAGTTCAAGATCAACCATGGACATGTCGGTTTTACTTTTCTGTCTTGTTTTTAATTTTGTCCAACAACAGGATAGTTTTCTTCTACCTTTATTATAACCAGATCTAATTAAGAATAATTGATCTGGTTTTTGGATGAAACTTGCTAAACATATTAATAATAATTAGATCTTTTATTCGCAATTAATCAAAATATAATTCTTAATATTATTTGTCGGTTTTCTTGGGCGTCTGTTAGTTTGATTTACAACATCAGACTATTTAAAACTTTAAAACACACAAAAAGGCCTCAAATCTTAAATCTTTAAAGCCAAACTTAGAAGGCCCAGAAATAGGCCAACTAAAGGAGCCCGTCCTCAAAAGGCCATGACTTGTATACCATGCTCTAGCAACAGTAAGTAGTAACCTTGGGAGTCACAAACTTAAATTGTTTTGGGAGTTTTATCTTAGAAGATAATTACGATTAAAAAATTATAAATAGAACAAATTAGCATTTCTTAATTATAATCAATAGTTAAGATAGTTAGTAAAAAGCAAAAATGACAAAAATATTACTTTCCTAATGTTATTCAATATTTGGACCATCTTTTAAACAAAGAATCAAAATTACTATCAATTTGGAAACTCGTCTATCAGCAAACATTTTATGAATTTTGAAACAAGTTTTCTGATAAAAGCTAATTTGTAATTTATCATTTTCGAAATACTTGTGATTTTTGAAATACTATGTTCAGGATAAATTAAGAACTAATTTTGTACATTTCAAAGTATCTTGTTGCAAAATCTTGTTTGTTGTAAGTTATGATTTTTTTTCATGTAAATTTGCAGTTTTATAATTTTCACCATCTTAAATATCATCAAACACTTTTTTACTTAATATCTTTAAACAATTTTTTTCAAAGTTATTCAATTAAATTGAGTCATTTGATAACGTATTAATAAATTTGAGGGTCGTGCAAAAGAACCAACGATGGTATGTACTATACAACATCATATTGGTTGAATTATGGTACACATTTATCGTGGTTTAGTTTATTTGATGGCTAGGAACATACGTTTAGTAGATAGTTAGATTGCTTTATATCTCGACTATCTTGTAATGAATAATTTTATAGAGACAGTTATTGACAATGATGTGAGACATTTTAAAGATGTTGTTCATGCTTTGTTCCTAAATATGGCATCAATGTTGTGGTCGATTGACTTGTCCAAGTTGGAAATAATTTCCCAATTATATAGAATAGATAGGTATCCAAACTCACCATACTATGTCGTTTTGTATTATATAATACATTCTAATTGTCTAATGTTCTTATAATATAACTTCTAACTTGATTTATTTCCATAATTTTTATAAATTACATATTTATCTTCATCTTACATAATTTTTATTTTCAACTACAATATATATAGCCTAATATATGTTCGACAAAAAGATGTGATATAAGAGAAAGATAATAGTGAATTTCAAAAATCTTGACAGTAAATCAAGTTAGAGGTTCATGTTTAAGAACATTATAATAAATATATCAAAAAAAACGATGTATTATGGTGTGTTTAGGTACTTAAACTTATATACCCTTAAGAGTATTTTCACTTTTCATATATATATATATATATATATATATATATATATATATATATATATATATATATATATATATATATATATATATATATATATATATATATAGGGTTAGGTTCATTTGAGACCACCTATATTTTGTGAGACCGTGAGACGCATTTTTTTATTTATTTTTTTATTTTTTATTATTTTTTTTAGTTAATTCATGTTCCGAAAATAATATTTAAAAAAAGAATTTTTTGATTTTTCCATTTATTTTGCATTTTAAAATTATTTTTAGAATATGTACAGTGTAATATTCTATTTAGAATATTTCACGTATTTTTCAAAAAAAAAAAGAATTTTTTTTTTATTTTTTTTAGTTAATTCATGTTCCGAAAATAATATTTACAAAAAGAATTTTTAGATTTTTTCATTTATTTTGCATTTTAAAATTATTTTTTAGAATATGTCAGTGTAATATTCTATTTAGAATATTTCACGTACTTTTAAAAAAAAAACGGAATTGTTTTTATTTATTTTAATTTTTTTATATTTTTTTTAGTTAATTCAAGTTCCGAAAATAATATTTAAAAAAAGAATTTTTAAATTTTTCCATTTATTTTGCATTTTAAAATTATTTTTAGATTTGGTCTCACGGTCTCACAAAATTAGAATAGTTTCAAATGAACCTGAACCTATATATATATATATATATATATATATATATATATATATATATATATATATATATATATATATATATATATATATATATATATATATATATATAGGGTTAGGTTTATTTGAGACCACCTATATTTTGTGAGACCGTGAGACGCATTTTTTTATTTTTTTTTTATTTTTTTAATTTTTTTTAGTTAATTCATGTTCCGAAAATAATATTTAAAAAAAGAATTTTTGATTTTTCCATTTATTTTGCATTTTAAAATTATTTTTAGAATATGTACAGTGTAATATTCTATTTAGAATATTTAACGTATTTTTCAAAAAAAATAGAATTTTTTTTATTTATTTTTTATTTTTTTTAGTTAATTCAAGTTCCGAAAATAATATTTAAAAAAAAATTTAGATTTTTCCATTTATTTTGCATTTTAAAATTATTTTTTAAAATATGTCAGTGTAATATTCTATTTAGAATATTTCACGTATTTTTCAAAAAAAAAAAAAAAAGGAATTTTTTTTTATTTTTTTTATATTTTTTTTAGTTAATTCAAGTTCCGAAAATAATATTTAAAAATTTTTTTTTAGGATTTTTCCATTTATTTTACATTTTAAAATTATTTTTAGATTTGGTCTCACGGTCTCACAAAATTAGAATGGTCTCAAATGAATCTGAACCTATATATATATATATATATATATATATATATATATATATATATATATATATATATATATATATATATATATATATATATATATATATATATATATAAAAGGTTAATAAAATAATTACAACTTTAAAATAAAAAACAAATCCAAAACCTATCTTCTATATTTCACTACAATTAAAATCTTCTATTATTTTATATAAGATAAGGTACGTACAATTTTGCAAACAGTCGAAAAGTCCCAACTCCCAACTTCCACCACACATGAAGGAAACTCTTTGCTACTAACCATTCCCAAGAAACTCATAACTATGGGGTACTTATTACACAAATTTCCACACAACCCCATCTTTAAAATCAATTAAAATGATACCTAAAAGAAGTTCTTAACAGGAGATCTTCCAACAGCTTTCATCAAGTTAGCCACTTCAAGAACCCTAGCCATCTTCGTTCCTCTTATTGATTCAGTAGATGCCCTCCTTTCCTCTGCTTTCTGATGAGCTTTAGCAATCTCGTTTTCCATCTTTTCGATCGCTCTAGCTTTCTTCTCATCCAGTTTCCTCTGCAAAACCGATACAAAGATTGAGTGCATGGTTAATGAATATATAAATTCAAGAACTTTATTTAACTGAAAGTGTAACGAAGGGAAAGCTTAATCTACTTCGATTTGCTTCATCTTTAAAGTAGCCTTCTGAACCTTCTCGCTCTCCCACCCTTTTATTATCGCATCCTCACACTTGAACCTGTGAGTAATCTCGGATATCTTAGCATTCTTCCATGCGATTATCTTCGATTCAACCTCCTCTTTCTTCACGTTTCTCGTCAGCACCACCACCTCCCTCCCATTTCTACCACGTACAGGCGATAGGGAAGGATGCAATATACCATCAACATCATAATCTTCTCCAATCGCACGTTGGTATTCAACTCCTATGCTCCCTATCGCTGATCCTGCCACCACCAACGTACTGTTAGTCACACTCATATTTGAATAATCGTCACGAGAGGTTCCATCACTTGTAGCCATAGATAGAGATGATTCAAATGGATGGCGAGTCCGTGGAGAGAGAACATATGTTGGGGTCAATGCATGTATGTCTCTTATTTCATCGCCATTAGAGTTTTGATCTTCACTGTTCGTACTACCAAACCCTTGATAATCAGACATTCGACGTTATGGGGTTTCAGATCATGGGCGAGATATGCATGAGAGTAGATGAATGTGCTTCAAGAAAGTTAATTTCAGGTGGTTTGATCCATTACAAACATGTGGGTCATGTATATAAGCTTTGTTACATGAGTATGAGACTCCTTCCAGCCTTCCAGGTTGCTTCCATCTTAAATATGATAATACGAAAGTCATTTTCCATCAAGAAGTTTTAAAATCTGATTATAACAATTAAAGCGATTGGTGTAGTTTGAAGCAGTAGCAATTAGAAAATGGACAAAGATAGAGAAAACGCGTTCTTAATTTGTTTAAGAATTTTTTAGTTGTGGTTTACCAAGGGTACAATTAAATCATTGGTTGGTTTTTTTATAATGCATAAATTCATTCTAACCTTTTTTTTTTTTTTATTTTATTGAAAATGACCTAAAAGGTCTTTATTTTTATTTTTTCTTGTAAAATATATCGTTTAACTTGATGGGTTTGTCTTTTTTTTTTTTTTTTGGAATAATCCAGAAATCTTTAATCTAGGGGTATTATAGAAAACTTGTCTTTTTTATGGTATTTGTACTAGATTAGGTTTCTTTGATGTTTTGTATAAAAAATGGCATATATATATATATATATATATATATATATATATATATATATAAAAGAGAGAGAGACTAATACTTGTTTTGATATCTAATACTAATGCAGATTACAACTCATATAAATATGCATTACTTAACTAAAATTAGAAAACAAATGGTCAAGGACCATACGCATCCAAGACTATGTGGGCTACTATGATGCAACTACCACTAAGAATAAGGGATGAGTAAATAAACCAATTATTAAACTAGCTAAGCAAGACCAAGTCAATGAGTGTTCGTATCAATACTCTACCCTTGAAAAATAGCCTTGTCCTAAAGATCGATTGATGATAATTTCCGATAACAATCGGGCCGTACTCATGGACGGAAGGATCTAGCCATGGAGGTGGCCTTAGGTATGGCCATAGATCTGTATCAGTTCGTCCCTGCTTAAAAAAGAACCACATTCTCAAGGCCCCTTGAATTTTTGGAATTGTTTTCGATAGTTGTTGCTAGCCAGAATTGTTTTCGTTAGTTTTATGTAGGTATTTTTTGGGGGGCGCATCATTAGTGGTAGGAGTTGTTGTGGTGAAGGTTCCTTGTTTAATGATGGCGGTGGTTGCGACTGCGGAAGTGGTTGTTGGGTTGACATGGGTGATTGCAATGGTTTTAGAGGCGGTGGTGACAATAACGATTGTTGTGGCGGCGGCAGTGACGGTGTGGATGAGGGCGGTGACGGCCTTGGTTGTTAATGCGAAGGTGGAGGTGGGATGAATTTGGCCATGATTTTGATTTGAATGCCGATGTGGGTATAGACGGTGGCCATTTGTGTGATAATTGCATCAAGACGGCAGTCATTAGCAGTGGAAATCGTGATAAGTGTGGAGAGTTGTTCGCGAATACTGTTAGATTAAGTGTTTAAGGCAATAACTAAATTGATATATACTTGAATTATTAACAAAGTCCTACTGGGTTGCCTTCGAACCTAGTAATTAAATATGATGACTTTTAGAGAGAGAAACTGATTTATTGATTTATTATATGATTAATAATAATAATACTTGAAAGATTTGTTAATATATATTATGAGAATAATATATTAATTAGGTAAATATTATTTAATTAATAATTAATAAAAAATTAATTAGAATTAATTTTGGGATTGATTGGATTAAATAATAGTTGAAGGACCTAAGTTGTAATTGTTTAATAGTTGAGCAAAAGACATTCCAGAACCTTCCTAGTGATGGACGATTTTAAGGGGTCTAATAGGGTTCTAAAATGTGCCTTGGAGATAATTAGTAAACCAGATAATTACCTGATTTAAGATATTGCTATTTTAATCAAGTAAGGGTTATCAGGGATTCCTAATGCAGCTATAAAAATGACCTTCGAGTTAGAAATTTTGACCACTCATTGTGATCAAGAGATAACTGAAATTCACCTCTTAATCCTCTTTCCAAAAAGTTTTTCCTATTTGTTAGGGTTTGGGTATGAACAATCTGAGGCACAAGATTTATGGTGCTAGCTTCCAAGAAGTTTTTCAAGAAGGATTGTGTGATTATTTACTACAACAATATGTGATATTCTATGAATTTTGAAATTATCTAGGGTTATAGGGTTCTTGTTGTTCAATAGAATGTTGTTGTAGTAGTGTTATGATTGGATCTAATAGGTTGCATGTACCTTTAAGTGTATAATGATTTATCCATATTATTACATGTAAAACTCATCAGTGATATCAAAGCCAGGTTGTCTAACAATTGAATATACATGCTTGAACTTGAACAAAACCTGTCTTGGAGGAAAGACATAACCGTCATTCTGTCGCAGCACCACGTCGTGGACTTCTTCTGCCATGACGTGGAGATCCTCGGATTCACTTTTTTCTTTGTTTTGCCTCGATGCGGCAATTATCTACCATGAGATGGTGAACCCTCTGATCAGTGAAATTTGTTTTTTCTTAATTCAAAATTTATTAGGATAATTACTTTAGATAATGTTTTTCTTAATTGTGTAAAAATGAATAATTATCTTTGTAATTATATATCGTATATCTTGAATTGTGAATTGTCTTTATTTTTTAATTACATTTAATTATTTTATTAATTAAAAGATAAAGATTAAAATCATACTTGGTTTATTTTAAATTGTATTATTAATTTTTAAAATTTTAAATTAAACTTATCATTTTAGAAAGTTATAAAATACATCTTGTACTATAAGTATAACTAAAAGTTTTAATATATTATATGTCTATGACAAGTTGGTCAAATCACTAGTATGCCTCATTCACGAAGTTATACTACAAGGGGAGTTTAAGGAAGTAGCTTATAAACTGACCGCCATTTAGTATCCATTCTTATCCACTGCTCTCTTGTATGGTGTAGGGTTGTTAGTTGAACGAGTTTGATAGGACATAATCTCATTAATAAGTATAATGGTATAAAGTAACTAAACTATTTTTTTTGAAAAATCTCACTCTTAGTTATTTAGGAAAAATATTAAAAGTATGCTAATCCATCAATAGCACATTATGCTTTATATGTAGTTAATGAAACATGTGTGGTTAACCGGCACATTAATTATAGATGATAAATGACATCGAGAGTGCTATGCATATTTTTATGGTTATTCACATCTTGTTTGTGATCATCGACATCTCAGTCACAAACAGAAGAGCATAATCTGAGATTAAACATTCCATTGATAAGATTCGATGAATCTCAAAAGATCTAGGAGTTTCATAGTTCGAAATTGGTGAAATGCTTTTAACTACCTTCATTTATTTGCGATAAGATTACAGTATCCCTCTTCTTAGTTGTCAGTTGTTATTTTGGATCCTAGCCTTAAATATTAATTATGGGTCAAATATTAAGGCTTATTGTCATCTTACTAAAACTACTTTGTTTCACTATAGATGTCTACTTCTGGTAATGCTTATGCTCCTTATAACTCTTCCCATAACTTTTTGCTTCTCTCGATCGTGTCCAAGGTGATACTGGATGAAACCAACTACAATGATTGGATGCGCAATATCAAGACGACTCTTTAATATGAGGACAAAGAGTGTCGTTGAAAAACAACTTATTAAGATCGATGAAGCTACTGCTACTCCTAAAGAAATAACCTCCTACAAGAAACACTATGACGAAGCGACTAAGGTTGCTTGCATCATGGTTGCCACCATGATTCCTGAGTTGCAAAAGTTCTATGAGGATTATCTCCATACGAGATGAACTTGGATCTTGTTGAACAGTTTCTCAAGAGAGCTCGTCAAGAAAAGTATGAAGTTGTCAAAGCTCTTATGGCTTCCAAATTGAATGAAAGAGGGTATGTCTACAACCACGTGCAAAGAATCTAAAGATATATGGAGCAAATTGAAATGCTCAATATGAATTTCGATGTGGAGTTGGCCATTGGCATGGTCCTTAACTGCTTGCCTCCTTGTTATGATCAGTTCATTCTGAGTTATCATTTGAACAACATATAAACCATGTTGGCCCAACTCCACAACTTGTTGCGGACAGCTGAGTCGGGAACGAATAAGACTCCTACCACTACAAATGATCCTGTCCTTGCCATTAGGAAAAACAAATGAAGCAAAATGAAAGGTGGTCCTAAGAAGAATTAGAAGGGAAATGCTCATGTTGGGTCGTCTAGCAATGGGCTAAAAGCGAAGCGCAATTCTAATATTCCTTCTGTTAGTGATCTTAAAAAGCCAATTTGATTTTATTGCAATGTTAAGGTCCATTGGAAACGAAGTTTCCCCAATTAATTGAAGGACATAAAGGATGGTAAAGTGAAGCCATCGTCGACGGGTTTACACTATTCAAACTAATAACTCACAACCTACTCGTTCTTGGGTTCTTGATATAGGATGTGATTTAACATTTGTTCTGATTTGCAGGAACTAAAAGAAAGTTAAAAAGTGGAGCATGGAAGGATGTATATGATCATGGGAAATAGGTGATCTTCTCATGTTACCAAGATTGGAACTTACAGTCTTATGTTTAGTAATAATGTTAGATTAGATTTAGTTAACTATTGCTATTTTTCAGAAATAACGTGAAGCATTATTTCTTTTTATGCACTATTTAGAAAAGGTTTTCTATATTTGTTTAATGATATGAATGGATCAATTTTGGCTTATAAAAATGGAAATTTTATGTTTAAATCTTTACCTTTTGATGGTGTGTATGAAATTGTGATTTGTGTTGATAGCTTAGGTAATAGTGTTTTTCATATTGATTCGTTTAATGGTTTAGGCAAGGCATACTTGTAGCATTGTCGTCTTGATCATATTAACAAGAAAAGCATTGCCCAAATCCAAAAGGATAGAGTGTTGGAATCATTTAACTTAAAGCCAGATGATGAATACGAATCGTGTCTTTTGGGGAAAATGACAAAATCACCTTTTACTAGATCTTTTGAAAGAGGTGAAGGTTTGTTGGATCTCATATAGACATATGTGTGTGGACCCTTTAGATCCACTGCAAGGGATGTTAATCTATTTTATGTGACATTTACAGATGATTATAGCAAATATTGTTATATCTACTTAATCAAGCATTAATTAGAAGCCTTTGAATAGTTCAAAGATTTTAAACAAGAAGTCGAGAATCAACTAGGAAGGAAGATAAAGATGATCCGATCTGGTAGAGATAGATATCTTAGTGTCGAGTTCCATGACTATCTCAAGGAATGTGGAATTATTTCCTA